AATGGATTTGCAGTCTCCACAGGGGCAGACAGGCCCTGGCCCTCCCACCCCTCCTTGCACCCCAAACCCCGCACAGCTGCGCGAAGCTGCCCCTAACACAGGGTCGGATACTACCAAGAGCTCCCCTCAGTCGCGTGGATAACCCTGCTCAGCCCACGTGCCAATAAACCTCCTCCTTCCCAGCAAAGCTGCTTTGCGTCGCTGCCTCTCTGCGGCTGAACCCTCCGGCCCGTGGCTCGCCAGCAACCCCTCCGGCTTTCCTTTGGGTGCCGGGCAGTATCCGTTAAACCTGTTCCGCAGGAATTTGCAGCGTTGCAAGAGGAGGCCGAGCAGGGAGGAGCGGTGAGCAGGGGGGCTGGTTCACCCTGCACTCGCGGCCCCGCTGCTCCCTGGCACCAGACGGGAGCCTGGAGGTGTCCCCAGATCCAGCCCCCTGCAAGCCCAGACAAAGCAGGGACAGAACCGCACGGAGCTGCTGGCGACAGGGCTTGAAGAGCAGCTGGTTCAAGCTCACAGTGTTCCCCCAAACACCCCAAGTTTTACCTTCCTATGGGGGTAAGAGAACCGCGATGCAGCTGTCGCTACACCCTGGCAGGGGTGTCGCTACACCCTATTTCCCTTTCAAACATTCAGCAAAGGCTTCGAGGCGATGACGCTCAGCCCCAAGGGGCAGCTGCCCTCGCTCCCTCGCCACAGCCTGCATCGCAGCAGCAAAGAACCACGCTCAGCACTGCTGGCCTGTCGGTTAACACACTTTAATGGGTGACTTACAGGTGCCAACCTCTAACCCAAGGAGCTGTATCCAAACCCCTCTAAAAGCAGAGAGGGGAGTGTGCAGTTGAGCTAATATTCGCACCGAGAAGCTGCTTCTCCCTTCCCCAGGAAGGAGGACGCACAGCCCGCTGCCAGGCACAGTTCACAAGGGCCCTCCCCAGCGAGGGCACCCAAGGTCTCCCTGGCTGCCTTTTCCTCATTAGCTCTTCAGCAAGGAAAGCTGCCAGGAAAACTGCCAAGAGGCTGGGACAGGGCTCGTTTTCCTCACAGGGCTCAGTAAGAGGATCCCCTTTTTGCAGCGCTGTGACATGGGCACCAGCAAACAGGGCAGCCCCGGCCCTTTGGCCGGCCGTGCTCAGCTGGACGCCTCCATCTCCACTTCTTCATTGATCGGCTGGGTCTGAACTTCCACCTTCTTCGGCGGGATGTAGGATCCCATCCCGGCTGCCCGCTCGGCCTCCTCCTGCGTGTAGGGCTCCTCACTCAGCTGCTTCAGCCTGCGAAGGCAGAAGAGACTGATGAAACCACGTGCACAAGGGCTGATCTTCAACAGAATCTCCTCAAAACCAGCCACCCCCCAACAACGCCCTGGCAAAGCCGGGGCCACAGAGCACCCAGGGGCTGCGGGGAGGTGATGAAGCCCCCCTGGGCACCCTGCGGCACCCCTGCCCGCCCCCCTTACCTCTTCTTGTGCACCTTGGACCTGAAGTGCTCCTTCATGCTGCTCAGATCCACGAAGTAGCGCCTGGGGGGGACACGGAGGGTCAGAGGGTGCCAAAACAGGAGGGGGCAACGGATTGCAGCCCCG